TGAAATCAAAATCCAGTGTTTTTCGGGTTTAGGGTTTAGGGTTTAGGGATGTACCTTTAAGGGGGCTATAGGTGATACATGAGCCATAATCTAACTCTTTAAAAGGAGGGGCATTTAAGGGGTTCTATATGGGACTATAGGGCGTGTTAAGGGGGATACTAGGAGCTTACTATGGCTCATATAGGGTTTAGGATTCAAATTCTTTCCCCGGATGTGGGAGAGGCTTAACTTGGGAGTTCTTATAGCCAGGATTCTTGTTTCTTGAGGCGTACGAACCCTATATTGTGGGCCGTGGCTATGCATTAGGGCCCTCATTTGTTTAAAGCCCCTTGGCTCCCTGCTAAAGATCTTGGCGGCTGGTATTCAAATATGTTGCACATTGTCGCTATGCAGCGGTTTCGTGATGGCTGTCAGTGCCTCCATCTCACCATGGGGCTTGCTAGTGCATGAACATCGGGTTTATATTGGGGATATAATGTGTACCCATAGTGGTAATATTGGGGTTCTATTGGGATAATGGAACAGAAAATGGAAATCACTATAATGGGGTCATAGAGGGATTGTAGGAAGTGGCATGCGGTGATTTCCTACCTGAGCCCCTCCAGAAGAGCCGGTAGACTTCCCAGCTGTTTCTACTTAATATCATCAAATTCGAACAGCGGGTGTGTTGAAATTTTGAAGCCCTGGAAATATTCCTAACGCGTGAGGATAACCCGCAACTTCTTTAATCTCTCCTTCAAGCCGGACCACCAGAAGACGCCCAATGTGGGACACACCAATTTTGCCTACCAGCGCCTGCAAGGCCTGTCAGAGACTGCTGCCAAGCGCTTGGCATGGTTAGAAGAGGGCCCACTCCTCAGATTCAGCATTCATGCTTAATCGTAACCAACAGCAGTAATTGCAACGAAAAGGCCAAAATAGCATAGAAGTAAATGAGTAGCGAGAGTAGCAGGTGTGGGAGCCGAAGGAATAGTACACATAGGCGGAACAGCAAGAAATATGCAGAATGGGCATGCCAGCTCTGAATAGCGCTTGTAATTCTAAATTCAACATTGGGATTTGTCAAGGCATTTTGACATTCTCTGTATGGACCTGAGATGCCACCGGAACAAATCGCTCTCAAAAACTAGACTCCACTGGAACCCATGCATACTCACAGTTTTTGATGTATGAGCTTCTTTATGAGCGAAGCTGGTTCACTTGCTGCGCTTTGGCCGGCCCACGAGCACTACTTTGCTGTGCTTGGGTTTTCTTGTCCTTCATGATGCCAATTCCGTTGTCTTTGCATGGGGCTTTCTAGAAATTGCACTCATAGAATCCTCTGTACAATCCCAATATCTAGACTCATACGGGGCCCCTGGTTGCGAGAAACGCGCATGTGTGTCTATGGTCTATGGCTTTGGGTACATTATAATAAGATCCCCATATGCCCAGTTCCCAAACTTGGGTCCCATTTTGGTACACGTAAATATTATGTGCCGTAATATAGTCTACAACCAAAAATAAAAATGGGCTCATAATTTTGGGAACAGCCCATGCCCAGACCCCCAAAGGGATCTAAAGATTAGATCCCCTAGAGCCATATGGGAAATTTTAGAAGGATGATATCGGGGATCTAATTTTTAGATCCTCTGGGTATCGCTCTCCCCACCCTAAACCCTAAACCCCATGTCTAAACCCCGAGCTTGCGCAACTCCCAAGTCCCGCGTCTGTATCCGTGCCCTGCAGCCAGGGATCCTCAAGGCCAGGTCGAACATGAGGCTGGGGTTTAGGGTTTCGGGGTTTAGGGTTTAGGGGTTTAGAGTTTAGGCTTTAGGGGGTTTTGGTGTTGAGGGGTTTAGGGTCTAGGGGTTTAAGGGTTTAGGGGTTTAGGGTTTAAGGGTTTAGGGGTTTAAGGTTTAGGGTTTAGGGGTTCAGGGTTTAGGGGGTAGGG